CTGCATCGTCATTCTAAGTGGACACTGTCACTTCTCTGTCACTTTCTTGGGTAATTGACAAGGTGGGGACGAAGCAATGGAGATGGAGGGGTGTTTATAGAGTTCTCACAGTTGCACTCAGCTTCGCCACGTTTTCACTCCCCAGCTTTCTCGCTGACCCGGTGTCCAGCGATGAGGCAGTGGAGATGAAGGGCCTCCATTGTTGATCTCATTCTGCTCTCACTCTGCTCGCACTCTGCTCTCCCTCGTTTCTCTGACCAGGTGTCCAGCGATGAAGCAGTGGAGATGGCGAAGAAGCTTGCACAGAAGGAAGGGCTGCTGGTGAGTGCCGTTGACTGAAGTGGTGCAGTGCGGTTGAGATGGTACCGTGCGGTTGAGATGGTTCTGTGCGGTTGGGATGGTATTTTCTGCATCCTTGAGGCCTATAGCCATGGTATGGTGTTACTGTAGTGTGCCCTGCTACTGTATCATGCTGTTTTCCTTGTAAATTAATACCCATTCTGTATTCACACATGTGGGGCATGCCACCCAGTGCAGTTGTGCCAAGCTGGCAGAAGCTTTCTCGGTTCTAATATGTAGCATTTCATGCTCGCTACCCAATTTTCATTGTCTTCCTGCAGGGCTGGGGGGAAGGGGTATTACCTGGACAGATTTTTGTTTAGTCTCAGACTCACCTGTTTCCTTTCCATCTTCCTTGCCTTGCTCTTGTTTTTTTCCCTTCAGGTGGGAATTTCATCCGGAGCAGCGGTCGTGGCAGCGATCGAAGTGGCCAAACGGCCGGAGAACGCTGGGAGGCTCATTGTGGTATGTTCTGTGCCAACTGCAATTTATATGTGGCTTAGTCTAGTTTCTGAGTTATTTTAGTTGCCTAAGTTTCTGTCTTTGCTGATGAGGTTATGTGTGGTCTTGCTTGGTTTCTGCGTTTCTCTCTCAGGTGGTGCTGCCAAGCTTTGGTGAGCGGTACCTTTCATCGGTCCTCTTCTCTTCTCTCCGCGACGAGGCGCTCGCAATGCAGCATGCGTGATGAGGAGAAATCTGGTACTATGTGGGTGATGGATCCTGGCTGTATAACATCATGGATCTGAATTTATTGTAATAGGCTTGTATGTATGGGATGTGTCGAATGATTTTTATCGTCCAGACTTGCAGTCAGAAAAGCAGGTAGCGTGTGAATGCTCTAAAAGCAGCAACAGTCGTACATACCGTTTGCTTGTTGAGTTATCGAGCAGAGCAGCCTTTGGCGGATGGTGGTTACTGGTTCAACTGTATCGGAACGTCATCTGCAACAGTATAATCACCATTGATTTCCTGGCGACGAAGGGCTGCAGTCGAATCCCCTGGCAATTATGCTCCGCTTGCGCACCCCAGATATTCAGCAATGTCGGAGATGTCCTTCTCCCTAGAACTTGCCGATGCGAGGGGTGACAGACATCACCCAAGCAGCAGAAACGTCATCGCCTTGGAGAGTAGTCTCATCTCTCTAAGCTGAAAGGAACAGCCTTGTTCCTGCCTTGTAATGCATGCAAGAACCTGAGGGTACCCACTTCAACAACATCGAACACTGTAGAAATTGTGTCGATAGTTACATACCGTATGCACTATTTGCTGGAGTCTCTAAAAAGTAGTAATATGGAGCCTCATATTATGACAATGTCTAAGCGTTTATTTGAAATTGAACAACTACGCTATTAAGCTCGCTCTAATTTATAATTAATATTGCCTCTCATCATTGCTGAATGCAATGCATTTGAGTTGGCATCGAGTGTAATGTTTGCATCTTTAAAAAGTAAAGCCACTAATGAATGTTATTATAGACACTGTAGTTTAAAGGGTTGGCTTGAGTAATCTCTATAGGCTGTTCCATTCCATTCATCAGCAAATCTTTCAGTTTATTCACCTAACCACCTCATAAGCGAGGGACCATCTATGCCATTGATTGGTTGGCACAAACGTTTCTAATCGAACGACGGACCGTGTTTGACGCTTGATGTCTTTTCCGCGGTATTGCTTTTCCGCAACATTGCTCTTTTCCGCCATTTTTTTTCCTCCACATTGCTTTTCCGCGATAGTGAAACGAAAGTTTCCGCTGCACCGTCGATTCCAACCAAACTGTTTTTGGCGGAATGATCGAGACCTTTCATTTTTAGAGCGCTCGTTGATTTCCCCCCATCACCACCCCCCTGATTCACTTCCCCGCTCGTCACTCCTCTCAATTTCCCTCCCCTCCACTCGTTCCTTCCCATCAACTCCTTCCCTCCCGTCGTTCCTCTCGACCTGAATCCTAGCATCGATTCTCACTCAATTCGTTTCATTCATCGCTAACTGCAGTGACGAATAGGCCAGGCAATCTAGGCCTTACTGGAACAAACATGACCGCAACGTAGCTTTACCTCTCTGCTTTACTCGCACACGACGGAGAGACGAATCGCTTATTGCTGTCCTAAGCGGAATAGGCGGTGACGAGTCGATTACAAGGTACACACAGCTGTCTTATGTTAAGATGATTCCTCACCTTGGCCTGGATCTTGGCCCTTGCTCTTGCGATGTCTCAAACCAGCACGAAAATCTCATGTCTGTCATCTAGCTTTGTTTGCCGCAGAGCGCGAAATGGCGGAAGTGGCGGAAACGGCAGATGTGGCGCGAAGTGGCAGAAATGGCGGATGCGGCGCGAAGTGGCAGAAATGGCGGATGCGGCGCGAAGTGGCAGAAATGGCGGATGCGGCGGATATGGCGGATGCGGCGCGAAGTGGCAGAACTGGCGGATGCGGCGGATATGGCGGATGCAGCGCGAAGTGGCAGAAAGTGGCGAAGTAAGCTATTGAGTTGAGACACGAAATGCTCATTACTTGATATCTGTCTCGGTTTTCGTATGCAATTTGAAGTTGTTTTTATTTACAGAGGCTATGTATTCACCCTTTTCAATGCGACATCTAACCAGGAGCACGAGATGCGGATGCTTTTCCCCGAGCATCGTCTGCTGCGGATCGTGAGGCGCTGGGCATGGCGACGCCGCGCAGGTGCGTTGGGCGCAGAGCGTGAGGCGCTGGGTGTTGGGAGCGTGAGCCTGCAGCTGTCCTCTTGAACCCTTCTCCTCGCTACTTGCGCCTACCTTCCACTCCGTTGCTTTCTCTGCCCTCTTCCCCCCCCCCACAGGCATGTCCTGTGACGGCGAGGCGAGGCGAGGGCGAGGCGACGACGACGCCCCACAGCCATCCCATCCCATCCCGCGAGTCACATGCCCCACAGCCATCCCATCCCGCGAGTCACATGCCCCACAGCCATCTGTACTACTACGAGTCAAGACGACCCGCGAGTTGCCTGCCCTGAATGGCGGAGTGACGGCGAGTCACATGCCCCGTGACCGCGAGGCGACGGCGACGGCTGACGCACATGCTCCGCCTCACACACGCCACGGTGAGTCGATGCACATGATGCAACAAAGAAGCAGGGAAAGAACGGCCAAAACAGACAGGCACATGGTAAACATGGAACGACACGTCAAAAACAGAAAAAAACAAATATAATGGCACATGCCAGGCCTACCTGTGAGCTCAGCTCACGCACCTGTGAGCTCAAGCGTACAAACACCTGTGATTTCAGCCCACTGAATTCATAATCACCCAATCATTTCAGAATTGTTCCTTGATTTCATACTTGCCTACTCATTTCAGAATTGCCCAACTCATTTCAAAACTGCCCATTCATTTCAGAAATGCAGTCATTCATTTCAGATTGCCCAGTGATTTCGGAATTGCCCTTTGATTTCGGAATTGCCCGTTGATTTCAGCATTGTTCTTTGATTTCAGAACTTTCCTTTTAATTTCGGAACTGCCCTTTGATTTCAGAATTGCCCTTTGATTTCAGAGATGTCCTTTGATTTCAGAGTTGCCCACTCATTTCTGATTTGCCACTCATTTCAGAATTGCCCACTCATTTCCCCCTCTTCCCCCCCCCCCCCCCACAGCCATCCCCCGGGTCACATGCATCGGGGCGGCGAGGCGACGGCGACGGCGACGGCTAAGGCACATGCTCCGCCACACAGTAAGACGATAGGAGTGATACAACAAGGAAGCATGAGAACAGAAAGGCACGTGCTAACCATGGAAAGGAACATCTAAACAGAAATGATGAATGGCACATGCCCCACCCACCTGTGAGTTCCTGGCCTGCCCTTCTCCCCCTGACCTGCCTCAGCTGACTGACCAGCTGAGCTGCCTGAGCCACTTTGGCCACATCAGCCAGCTCAGCTGACTGACCAACTGAGCTGGCTGAGACACTTTTGCCACATCCGCCAGCTCAGCTGACTGACCAACTGAGCTGGCTGAGCCACTTTGGCCACATCCGCCAGCTCATCAGCCAGCTCTAGTCCATCCCATTTTTTTCCACTTTACTGTTCTTTTATTTTATTTTCTTTTCATTTCTTGTTTTTGTTTGATGCGGGGTTAGGGGGATTGGGGGACTTGGTTGGTAGCGTGCACCTTTATTTTGATTTACTTTTTAGTTTTGTTTCCTTTTGCTATTTTTTACTCTGCCCTCCACTCACCTCATCTCTGCCCTCCACTCACCTCATCTCTCCCCTCCAATCACCTCATCTCTGCCCTCCACTCCAATCACCTAATCTCTGCCCCTCACTCTCCTAATCTCTGCCCTCCACTCACCTCATCTCTCCCACCACTCCACTCACCTCATCTCTGCTCCCCACTTCCCCCCTTTTCCGCCGTCCCTCCCCTGCTCCTCTTCCCCTTGCGCCCATGCTCTCCTGTTGCCCGCTGCAGGAGCGATGGCGGTGCGAGAGTACGCGCCCAGCCCAACCCCCCGGAGACGAACAAGGAAGCATCAAGCTCTCTCGTCAACACTCCAATCCATTAGTGTACAAATTGCTAGATTAGCGTAAAAGTAGCACTAGATTGTGTTTATGTGTGTTTGCTTCAGACTGCTAGGCCCTTTGACTAGGTACGCTGCGCCCTGGTTAGGCTAGGTGTGGCCACCCAATGCCGGCCATGTTCAGTGAGATTCAATGCGGTTCAGAGCAGTTCAGTGCGGTGAGGTTCGGTGTAATGCGGTTCACCGTGATGCGGGTCAGTGAGGTGCGGTTCAGTGCGGTGCGGTTCTTTGAGGTGCGGTTCAGTAATGTTCAGTGCGTTCAGAGCGGTTCAGTGCGGTGCGGTTCGGTGGGGTGTGGTCCAGTGCGGTGCGATTCAGTGAGGTGCGGTTCAGAGAGATTCAGTGCGGTTCAGAGAGATTCGGTGCGGTTCAGAGAGATTCGGTGCGGTTCAGGGCGTTTCAGAGCGATGCGGTCAGTGCGATGCGGTTCAGTGCGGTGCGGTTCGGCGGGGTGCGGTTCAGTGCGGTGCGGAGAGAGATGGCGGTGTGGCTCGCCCGTGCACAGCCGAGCCGAGGGGTGGTGCTGGGAGCTCGGTGGGGCTGGCCAAGGTGGGGCTGTACCGGATCTCCATTCTCTCTTCACACACAGGTACGGCATTCCGAAACCCGCTTCCCAAAACCCGATTCCCCTACACAGTTCCCGCCCCACCCTGTATTCTGTCTCCCACGCTCCTGAAATTCTGTTTTGCCCCAACCTCCTGATATTCCGTTTTTCCCCACCGAAATTGTGCCCCCCCAACCCCCTACCCCCCTCCACCCAGAGGGGTGGGGGGGAGGGGGGAGGACTTGGGGGAACGTTCAAAAGTCGACCCCCCGTTCAGTATCGCCGTGAGCATGATCACAGATGTGGAGGAGAGGGACTCAGCATTCCAGGCAAGGTACGGTACGGTAAGGTACGATACGGTACAGAGTTCGGACATGCTTCTCTAAAAGAAAACTCGCACCGTCCTTTGTGGCCCTTTGTGACGGCAGCGAGGGGCTACCAGCTCACCCTCACCATGCCCGCCTCCATGAGCCTCAACTTGAGCGTCCCATGCCGCTGCTGCTCCCTCTCCCCCCTCCGCCCTCCTCTCCCTTTCAGAACACCCTAGTAGAGCCCACCAGCGGCAACACGGGCATCGGACTCGCCTTCGTGGCGGCAGCGAGGGGCTACCAGCTCACCCTCACCATGCCCGCCTCCATGAGCCTCGAGCGCCGCGTGCTGCTGCGCGCGTTCGGGGCGGATCTGGTTCTGACTGACCCCGCAAAGGGCATGAAGGGCGCGATTTCAAAGGCCGAGGAGATTGTGGCAAACACCGAAGGCGCTTACATGCTGCAGCAGTTTGAAAACCCGGCGAATCCCAAGGTGAGAGTGAAGCAGGGTGTGTGAGGCGAGGTGATAACAAGGTGAGAAAGAGGGGAGGAAGTGTTTGAGGCGAAGTAATCCCAAGGTGAGAGAGGGGGGAGGGTGTGAGACGGGATAATCCCAAGGTGCTGAGAGGGGGGAGGGTGTGAGACGGGATAATCCCAAGGTGCTGACGGACCCTGCCAAGGCCATGAAGGGCGCGATTGTGAAGGCCGAGGAGATTGTGGCTTGTACGGAAGGCGCTTATATGCTGCAGCAGTTTGAAAACCCGGCGAATCCCAAGGTGAGAAAGAGGGGAGGGTGTGTGTGATGATGAGGTAACCTCGAGGGCGAGAAAGAGGGGAGTGTGTGAGACGAGGTAATCTCAATCTGATATAGAAGGGAGGGAGTTTGTTGCTGCAATTCCTGACAGACCCTGCCAAGCGCATTACTGGTGTGATTGAGAGAGTGGAGGGGGTTGTGGCTTGTACTGAAAGCGCTTATATGCTGCAGCAGTTTCAAAACCTGACGGTTCCCAAGGTGAGTGAGACAGTGAGCGAGGGTGTGTGTCGGAAAATTGTGAGCTGACAACGAGGGGAGTATGTGAGGCGTGGTGCTCTGAAGGTAAGGGGGAGTCGAAAACGTAAATGTTAAAAAAGGTGAAGGTAACAGAGCATCCAGCTGGTTTCCCTCTCTCTGGTGTCTTGTCTTCCTTCCCCTTGTCTTTCTCAAGCCTCCCCTCTGTTTCCTGCCCCCTACCTTTCTTCAGGTGCACTGTGAAACCATGGGCCCCAAAACTTGGGAGGGCTCGAATGGCCATTCTGGTGTCTGCCTGTGAGCGTTTTCTAACTATGACTGTACTGTGTGCTCCTGTCACACGGGCGGCACGGTCACAGGCGCTGGAAGGTTCCTCCGAAGCAAGAACCCGGATGTGAAGGTGAGAGGCCTTTCCTCTCTATCATCTTGTGACTATGTGACGATTCTTTCGTTACACATATACGTGAAAACGCCGCCCCGAGATCACAGCACAATCACAGGTGCTGGGAGATTCGTGACCTGGCCTTGTTCCTCCGGAGCAAGAACAGAACCCCGGAGTGAAAGTGAGGTCTCTTTACTCAAGGCCAGGTCAGGATCACTGCGGGTCCTCCTCATTACCAGTTGCACCATTTTCTTCCGGAATATATGCCTGCGTATGAGACGCCTCAATAGACATAGGAGAACCTGCTGCTAGTGCTGGTGAGGGAGGTTCTCTCGCAGGCATCTCATTAGCAAGTGCATCATTGCACCATACCCTTTACTCTTCCTGAGTATTGCCTTCTTCCTGCCTGCTTTCGTCTGCTCTGATTGGCTACAGCTCGTGGGAGTGGAGCCCACGGAAAGCCCTGTGATCTCAGGTGGAAAGCCAGGTGAGAACAACAGGACAACCCATGTTGTTTCCTGCGCATCTTCACATCCATCCGTGACCCGTCTACCGATCTCGTCACTTCTACTTCTTTTCTCTTACCCTACCCACCTGTGTTCATATGCCATCCCCCTATTTCGTATTGCGTACATGCTCCCTGTAGGCTATATCGTATGCATTTTCCCCGTTTCATTGTGATTTTCGTTTGCATGCCTTGTGCCTGTAATACCCCATCCCCAACCACAGCTCCCACATTTCTTCCTCCCTCAAACCCTCTGTTTCTCCTACCCTCGCCACCCCAACCATGCCCCCACAAGATCCAGGGCATAGGCGCCGGCTTTGTGCATGTGAGCCCTATTCTCGCTTCCTCCTCTCACTGGAGATCCCTCCCTGCCTCCACTCTTTCCTTTGCGTCCCCCACCCTCCCCTCCCCAACCAGGCCCGCACAAGATCCAGGGCATAGGCGCCGGCTTTGTGCCTGGAGTGCTGGACGTGGGACTGCTCAGCGAAGTGGTGCAGGTAAGTGCAGCTTTTAGAATGATTGGGTTTTTTTTTTTTTTTTTTTTTTTTTTTTTTTGAAAGTTCGGGATTGCGGTCGTTAAGCGAGGCTTTTAGGCTTAATGTGATGACTTTGGGCTGTTTGGAAGCGTATTTGACTCTCTTGTTGAAATTTTATGCTGTAACCTGAAACTGGTAGATTCTGTGCAACTGCATCGTCATTCTAAGTGGATACTGTCACTTCTCTGTCACTTACTTGGGTAATTGTCAAGGTGGGGACGAAGCAATGGAGTTGGAGGGGTGTTCATAGAGTTCTCACAGTTGCACTCAGCTTCGCCACGTTTTCACTCCCCCGCTTTCTCTCTGACCAGGTGTCCAGCGATGAAGCGGTGGAGATGAAGGGCCTCCAGTGCTGATCTCATTCTGCTCTCATTCTGCTCGCACTCTGCTCGCACTCTGCTCTCCCTCGTTTCTCTCACCAGGTGTCCAGTGATGACGCAGTGGAGATGGCGAAGAAGCTTGCACAGAAGGAAGGGCTGCTGGTGAGTGCCGTTGACTGAAGTGGTGCAGTGCGGTTGAGATGGTACTGTGCGGTTGAGATGGTTCTGTGCGGTTGGGATGGTATTTTCTGCATCCTTGAGGCCTATAGCCATGGTATGGTGTTACTGTAGTGTGCCCTGCTACTGTATCATGCTGTTTTCCTTGTAAATTAATACCCATTCTGTATTCACACATGTGGGGCATGCCACCCGGTGCAGTTGTGCCAAGCTGGCAGAAGCTTTCTCGGTTCTAATATGTAGCATTTCATGCTCGCTACCCAATTTTCATTGTCGTCCTGCAGGGTTGGGGGGAAGGGGTATTACCTGGACAGAATTTTGTTTAGTCTCAGACTCACCTGTTTCCTTTCCATCTTCCCTGCCTTGCTCTTGTTTTTTTCCCTTCAGGTGGGAATTTCATCCGGAGCAGCGGTCGTGGCAGCGATCGAAGTGGCCAAACGGCCGGAGAACGCTGGGAAGCTCATCGTGGTATGTTCTGTGCCAACTGTCATTTCTAATTTGCACAGTCCATTTTCAGAAGCATGGGGTTGTTTCTCCTTTTGCCTTCTTTTTTGATGGAGTTATCCCCGTGCTCTTGCTTCGCTTTTGTGCTGCTCCGTTAGGTGGTGCTGCCAAGCTTTGGCGAGCGGTACCTTTCCTCAGTCCTCTTCTCTTCACTTCGCGACGAGGCGCTCGCTATGCAGCATGCGTAATTAACAGGAATGTGCACTGGACGTAGCAGTTCGCATAAAACTGTCGTTGCCGGGGAAAAATAGCCGACCAATCTCAAATTATCATAATTGTAGTTCAGGTCATACGAATACTACTTTATTTTAAGCCGGGTGATCATACCCTACAAAGTAGAGAATCTGAAGAACATGGTACAGCTTTGAAAGCCTAGGAGCAGCATCTGTGGTGTGCTGTTTCCCAACTGTATCGGAGCGTGTGCTGCGACGTCGATTTTCGGGCGACACTGAATCCACTGGCAAACTGCACTTCGCAATGGCACCCTGAAGTTTAGTGAGCGAGTTCAATGAGGGAGAAGATGGTTGAGTACGGTTCCGAATGGTACATTCTTCTAAAAACCTTGGAGTTTGTCTGCCTTCACCCCCTAGAACTTGCTGATGCGAGGAGTGGAATTCGTTACCCCTAATCCTGCTCGACGGATTTATCCACACGTTAGGGACAGGTCCCACCACGAACCACCACACGGACAACGAAAATTTGACACTCCGGTCTCGCACTTTCCTGTTAGCATGCTCTCTTTCTTATGCGTCTTAAAAATATGGATGTCTGACTTTGCGGTCTCGCGGTCTACCTTTTCCGGTTTGCAGTCTCTTTTCTCGAGGTCTTGAAAATAGATGTATGACTCTGCGGTCTCGCAGTCGACATTTTCCGGTTAGCAGGTTCTTTACTCGAGATTTCTGTAATATGGATGTCTGACACTGAGGTCTCGCAGTCTACATTTCCGGTTAGCAGGCTCTTTCTCAAGGTTTAGAAAAAAATGGATGTCCGACACTGAGGTCTCGCAGTCTACATTTTCGGCGTAGCCTACTCTGACAACACGGACGACCTAGACTATTGAGTTGACTCACATTTCACCTCGCCGTCTACATTTTCGGTTTAGCTTACTCTGACACCACGGACGACCTACAGCGCAGGTTGTCTCGCGCACCTGGAGCGCAAGTCGCAGAACGAAGAGCGCAAGTCGCAGGTCGTACAGCTTAGGTCGGAGGACGTAGAGCTTAGGTCGCGGAACGTAGAGCTTAGGTCGCGGAACGTAGAGCTTTGGTCGCGGAACGTAGAGCGCAGGTCGCGGAACGTAGAGCTTAGGTCGCGGAACGTAGAGCTTAGGTCGCGGAACGTAGAGCTTAGGTCGCGGAACGTAGAGCGCAGGTCGCGGAACGTAGAGCTTAGGTCGCGGAACGTAGAGCGCAGGTCGCGGAACGTAGAGCTTAGGTCGCGGAACGTAGAGCGCAGGTCGCGGAACGTAGAGCTTAGGTCGCGGAACGTAGAGCGCAGGTCGCGGAACGTAAAGCGCAGGTCGCAGGACGTAGAGTCACCCACGAGATGCCTGCGAAATGTGGTTCCATCCCAGTTACGCGAACCTAGCCGTTTGCGCAATCTCAGGCAATACGTCAACACGGAACTAGCTTTTATAGCAGCGCTGTTACTGAACTGGTTATTTTAACAGCGCTTAGGGATTTTTTTCTCAAAAGACCACCACGGACAGCCTTTCCGTATTCACCACTACTGCCTGGCACCGGTTCGAAATAAGTTAGTCGTTTTTTTTTACCTTTTCTTATTTCTCATTGGCAGCAGAAACGTCGTCTTAAGCCCCTGGAGAGTAGTCTCATCTCTCTTTGCTAAAGGTAACGGGCACAGCCAGTAACGCACACAGCCAGTAACGCACACAGCCAGTAGCCAGTAACTTGCACAGGCACGCTCGGTATCATTGGGTTCGTGTAAAGAGACGACTTTTTGGACGCCTCAGAATTAGTGGGTTAGAGTAAGGAGGATGAATCAAGCGGGAGCAGTCGGAGGAGGCGGGGGAGATGGAGGAGGGGGAGGAGGAGGAGGAGGAGGAGGGGGAGGAGGAGGAGACATCGTTGGTATGGTTACAAAAGCCGTAAATCTTGGGGCAATGGGAAAGGAGGATCTGATTCGCGTGCATAACCTCATTAGCAATGCGTTACAGGGACACACTGGAGCAGCTACAACCGCTACAGGTGCTCCAGATGCTACAGCTGCTACAGCTGCTACAGGGGTTACAGCTGCTACAGGGGTTACAGCTGCTACAGCTGCTACAGGGGTTACAGCTGCTACAGCTGCTACAGCTGCTACAGGGGTTACAGCTGCTACAGCTGCTACAGCTGCTACAGGGGTTACAGCTGCTACAGGGGTTACAGCTGCTACAGCTGCTACAGGGGTTACAGCCTCTACAGGGGTAACAGCCATTGCAGGAGCTGCACCTGCTACAGGAGCTGCAGCCGCTACAGGAGTTACAGCTGCTACAGGAATTACATCTTCTTCAGGAGCCGCAGGTGCTACAGCTGTTCCAGCTACAGGAGGAGCTACAGCTGCTACAGGAGCTACAGCTGCTACAGGAGCCTCGGCTGTTGCTGGAGCCACTACCGTGACAGGAGCTACAGCCGTTACAGGAGCTACAGCGATTTCAGGAGGTACAGCAGCTTTGGGAGTCACAACTGTTACAGGAGCTGCAGCTGCCACAGGAACCAGAACTGCTACAGGGGCTACAGCTTCTAGAGGTGCTGCAGGAGTTACAGCTGTTTCAGCGACTGCACCTGCTACAGGAGCCCCGGCTGTTGCTGGAGCCACTACCGTGACAGGAGCTACAGCCGTTACAGGAGCTACAGCTGCTGCAGGAGCTACAGCGATTTCAGGAGGTACAGCAGCTTTGGGAGTCACAACTGTTACAGGAGCTGCAGCTGCCACAGGAACCAGAACTGCTACAGGGGCTACAGCTTCTAGAGGTGCTGCAGGAGTTACAGCTGTTTCAGCGACTTCACCTGCTACAGGAGCCCCGGCTGTTGCTGGAGCCACTACCGTGACAGGAGCTACAGCCGTTACAGGGGCTACAGCTTTTAGAAGATCTACAGCTGCTTCTACAACAGTTACAGGAGCTGCAGCTGTTACAGGAGCTGCAGCTGCCACAGCAACCAGAACTGCTACAGGGCCTACAGCTTCTAGAGGTGCTGCAGGAGTTACAGCTGTTCCAGCGACTGCACCTGCTACAGGAGCCCCGGCTGTTGCTGGAGCCACTACCGTGACAGGAGCTACAGCCGTTACAGGGGCTACAGCTTTTAGAAGATCTACAGCTGCTTTGGGAGCCACAGAAGTTACAGGAGCTGCAGCTGCCACAGGAACCGCGACTGTTACAGGAGCTCCATCTTTTACAGGAACCTCAACTGTTACAGCCGTTACTGGTGCTGCATCTGCTACAGGAACCTCAATCGCTACAACCGCTATAGGTGCTGCAGCTGCCACAGGTGCTATAACTGTCATAGAAACTACAGCGTCACCCCGCACTCTACCCGTTTTGTCTTCTTCTTCCCCATCCTCTCGGCCTCTGACTATCGTGACAACTGCCCGCCCCTCATCGGTCCCATCCAACATCCCCCCACGCACCGTTCTAGTGCCTATTACTCGTGTGTCTGCACCTTTCAGCTTTCCTGCACGTTCTCGTGCCGCCCCTTCTCGTGCCGCCCCTTCTCGTGCCGCCCCTTCTCGTGCCGCCCCTTCTCGTGCCGCCCCTTCTCGTGCCGCCCCTTCTCCCGCCGCCCCTTCTCCTGCCACCCCTTCTCGTGCTGCTGCTTCTGGTGCCGCCCCTTCTCCCGCCGCCCCTTCTCCTGCCGCCCCTTCTCCCGCCACCCCTTCTCGTGCTGCCGCTTCTCGTGTCGCCCCTTCTCCCACCGCCCCTTCTCCCACCGCCCCTTCTCCCACCGCCCCTTCTCCTGCCGCCGCTTCTGCTGCCGCCCCTTTGCCTGCCATCCGAACCTCCATTAGTCAACCCACCCACCGAGCCACAGTGGCAGGTTCGGCTCGCCAAACTCCATCTCAAAGGCCAATGACCGCCGGCCAAGGAATTCGCACGCCTAGTGTCGATGAATCGCCCTCCTCACATCCCACACACCCCACACAACCCTTGCAACTCTCACAACCCTCACACCCCGCACAACCCTTGCAGCTCATGCCTTGCATTGATGAGTTTCCCTCCTCACAGCCCTCTGAGCAAGCCTCGCCGCGACAAGAGTTGCCTGTCTCTCCCTCTCAGACCAACACCCACTCTTACGAAACCAACCCCCCTCATCCCAGCCCCCCTTACCCCGCTCTCCCTCAACCCACACCCCCTCGCTCTACCCCCACCTCCCCCACGCCCCCTCACGCCAACCCGCCTCACCCCAACCCCCCCCGCCCCACACCTGTTCGCACCGGCTCCCCCCGTCGCCTGGCCTGTGACAACCCTTCACCCTGGCCCTCTACCAAACGTTATTTCGGAGTCACCTGGTACCGCAACGCGTGGCAGGTGTTTCTGACGGCCACCAAGGCGGAGCAGCAGCGGTATGGGGTTAGCACTCAGTGGTACTGCGGCCGCTGGCCCAAGAATCAGGTGGAGGACGCAGCAGCTGCTTCAGAAGCAGCACATTTCGTGCTCAAAGGGGGGGGAGTGGGCGAGGGAGCAGGAGAGGGAGGAGGGGCGGCAGGGGAAGGAGGAGGGGGAGGAGGAGGGGGAGCAGGAACCAGGGGGAAAAGCGGGACCGAGCGAGTGTATGACTTTCTTTCAGGAAGGGATAAGGAGCGGTTGAGAGAGATGGGGAGGGCGAAAGCAGCAGAGCTGATAAAGAAGAAGAGGTGGGTGATATGGCAGCAATGGCGCTCCTGGTGGGGGGAGGAGGAGGAATTACACGCAACTGCCACTGCTGCTGCGGGGTTATCCCTAGGTTCAGCTTCCAAGTCTGTCCGCGAGGCAAATGCGGCTGGTATCCCTGTTAAAGCCCTCGCTCTCGCCTCCCGTATCCGGGTTTCTTCACCTGGCCGCACTTCTCGGGCTGCTGCTTCCCGCCGGCCTGCCCAGGTTCCTCGGGCAGCTGACCGGGACGTTGAGTGTGTTTCTCCCGCTCGCCTTCTCGCTCTCTGCACCCCTTTTGCCACGGCAGATAACGAGGAGGCGGAAGAATTGCTTGCTCTTTTGAACCCTCCCCCTCGCTCCAGACGTCGTCGCGGTCGCCCCACTACTCGCTCCACTCCCCGCGCTCGCAACACTCCTCGCGCTCACTCCACTCCTCTCGCTCCCTCTGCTCCTGCCACGCCTGAGCCCGCTCAGAGGCTTGTGCCCGTTGCTCCTGGTCCCACTGGTGTGCTGTCGCATGAGCAGCAGCAACAGCAGCCGGAGGAGGAATATGGAGTCCCGCAGAAGTATTTCGGCGTGTCGTTCCGCTACAACAAGTGGGAGATCCGTATTTCCGTGTCAGCCGCACTCAAGAAGCGGTATGGGCTGGGGGAGCAGCTTTACTGCGCGCGGTGGGAGCGGGAGCAAGGGGAGGAGGCGGCGGCGGCAGCGGAGGCGATTCATTTCGTGCTGGGGAGAAGGGTTAAGAGAGCGTATGAGTATATCACGGAAGAGGAGAGAGAGCGGTTGAGAGAGATGGGGATGGATCGGGCTATGAGGCTGATCATGCAGGGGAAGTGGAAAACGTGGCGGGAGTGGCGGCAGGGGCAGGAGGGGGAGGAGGGAGCGGAAGGGGGGGGGAAGGGGGAGGAGGGAGGAGGAGGAGGGGTGGTGGGTGGTGAGGGGATGGAGTTGGGAGGAGAGACGGGAGGTGGGGACGGGGAAGTGGGGGGAGTGGGTGGGGTAGAGGGTTTTTCGAGGCCAAAGAGGAAAAGAGCTCCAAGGAGGGTTGTGAGGGAGAGGAGTGACGATGCTGAATCGGGGGGTGAGTGTGGTGAGGGGGGGGTGGGGAGTGCGAGGGGAGGAGGGAGAGGGAGAGGAGGGAGGGGGGGAAGAGGAGGGAGGGGAGGGAGTGGAGGTGGGGCAAGGAGAGTAAGGGGAAGAGGAAGAGGAGGGGGAGTGGCAGGGGGAGGAGCTAGAGCGGAAATGGCTGGCTACACTGATCTGCCGGGGGGTGAGGAGGAGGTGTTGTATGACATGGGGGAGGAGAGATGGAGTGCGAGGGGGTTCACGTGGGAGGAGGGGCACGGTGGGGCGGGCAGGGGGGGAGGTGCGAGGAACAGCGAAGGAGGGTGGGAGGAGGTGGAAGAGATGGACGAAGAGACAGAGGAGGGTGGGGATGGGTGGGAGGAGGAAGCGTGGAATGAGGAGGCGTGGGAGGAGGAGCTGTATAATGCGTACCGCTTGAGAGAGATGCTCGGAGGGCTCATGTGATGCCATGACAATGTGATGAGTCGATGAGGCACTAGGGCCGGACGCCTGCTTAGGCCAGGGGAGTCTGGCTTTTGAGGCGCCTCTCGAATCGCACCTCTCGACTCAAAAATCACATCGAGGGGAGGCCGATCCCAGAGAGATGGTGAGATGGCACAAGGGACGTGCTGCTCGGCCAGGAAAATTTGGCTTCTGATTTTAGGCGCCTAAAAACTGGAGAGATGGTGAGATGGCACAAGGGACGTGCTGCTCGGCCAGGAGAATTTGGCTTCTGATTTTAGGCGCCTAAAAACTGGAGAGATGGTGAGATGGCACAAGGGACATGCTGCTCGGCCAGGAGAATTTGGCTTCTGATTTTAGGCGCCTAAAAACTGGAGAGATGGTGAGATGGCACAAGGGACGTGCTGCTCGGCCAGGAGAATTTGGCTTCTGATTTTAGGCGCCTAAAAACTGGAGAGATGGTGAGATGGCACAAGGGACGTGCTGCTCGGCCAGGAAAATTTGGCTTCTGATTTTAGGCGCCTAAAAACTGGAGAGATGGTGAGATGGCACAAAGGACGTCCTCTCAGGCCAGGAGAATCTGGCTTCTGAGTCGTCTCAAGGAGGCCGATTTCAGTGAGATGGCACACGGGACGTTCTCTCAAGCCTAGGGAATCTGGCTTCTTTTATTTTTTGGCGCCTCAAAACTAGTGAGGTGGTACAAGGGACGTTCTCTTAGGCCAGGAGAATCTGGCTTTTGAGTCGTCTCGAGTGAGGTCGATTCCAGTTATGACGTCCTCTCACGGTAGGCGAGGATAAATAGTCAATCGACGCAGTAATTCTATCGAAATCGTACTCGCGATTCTTGAGAGCATATACAGGGGACGGGAGTTTTTTTACAGGAGAATGCGAGGAGGCATTTCAAGGAAAAGGTTGACTGGAGGGCGTGGGAGGAGAGGAGAGGAGGGAGCAGAGGAGGGGAGGCGTCAACTTGAGAGGAAGCAGGGCACAGAGAGGAGGAGAGCCGGGTGGAGTGGAGGGGTTTAGACATCCGACGAATAGAAACTGTTGGAAACAAGTAGTTCTAAGCGCCTCTGTCGTGTCGAAACACCAAGTCAGAAGCGAAGCAAAACATATCGAAACACCGGCGAGTCAACCCTCGGAGGTTGAGCAGTTGCTAGAGGTCACACGAAAGTCAAAGGTCAGCGACCTTTGACCTGACAAGTACAACACGACAGCAATGACACACAACTGACTCGCTACAGAGCAGTTGCCCGAGTCGTCACTGTATCGAACCGCAACAGCAACAGTAAAAACTGTGTCTCTTCGTATTCCTTGTACTCTTATATAATCTTGTCTCTTCGTATTCCTTGTACTCTTATATAATCTTGTATCTCTTTGCTTTAATCAATCGACTTTGCCCTCACATACTAGTGCAAGGTGGTTCAAGCACTTCTCATTAAAGCTTCCGCTAATTAGAACAAGTCCTACCTAGAGTTCACTCCTGCAAAGATCCTAAGGGCTTTTTCTCAGCCCAACATGGTATGAGAGCTAACAGGGGGAACTCGACTACTATCAAGTTATCTACAGCGTCAGAAGGCATGGCAACACAAAAGGAAAGGAGCTCCTCTAACGGCTCACATGGTACTACTCCTACTCCACCTCCTGCCTCTGGCCTGCAGACAGAGGAGGGTACGGCAACAAGACCAAGAGCAACTTCTACCGAGACTCCTGCGAATCAACCTGCAGGATTCGATCAGAGCATGATGGAGAAGTTTTTCTCCTTCATGTCCTTCTACGAGCAACACCAACAGTCGGCACCTGCGCAGTCGAACAACAGCAATAACAACAACGACGTGACTCCAATGAGCCTTGATGGTTCATCCTACGCACGAGGAAATCAACAGCAGCAACCTACCTTTGCTCCGTACGAGCCCCAGCGCGGCTCCGTCAGCTTTATGCCACAACCGCAGCCTGCACCTGGACAAGAGAAGACACTTGATGCACTTCAAGTTCAGTCACAGTTCGCACACGTCTTAAAACTGCAAACGTCAAGACCTTTCGACGGAAAGGACTTCTTTACCTGGTCATTCGAGTTCGAGCTGATGATGGAAGGCGCGCAAATCCTCGGCTTCTTCGACGGATCCCTGCCATATCCAACAAATGGCACACAATACGACAAGCAGCAGTACACCTATCAGTCAATGATGGCGTACACGGTTCTACTGAGGAACATCACTCCGAATCAGCAGCAGAACATACGGTCTTACCGGGGATACGGCAACTCCGCCGAACTCGCATACAGCCACTTGAAGAGCCTGTATCAAGCAACAGACAGCGTAAATCAGAGTCGGTTGATGGCGCAACTGACAACAGTCGAGATGAAACCGGGCGAAAAAGGAATGGCGTATATCAGCCGCTGTCGCGAATTGCGCGACAAACTCCTTCGATGCGGAGGGTCAATATCTGAAGAAGCCTTCGTCACAGTCGTCATCACTGGACTTGGTCCTCATTGGCGCTCCACTCGTGCCATACTCCGAGCTCACGGGAAGATCTCCGAAGCAGCACTTTGCGCCGAAATCCACGCCGAGCAGCAAGACATGGACCTGCAAGAGGAACGGCACAAGAAGAAAACATCAGTACCAGAATTCGCGTTTCACACTCAACGGCGCTACAACAACAACAACAACCGGCATCAACCAAAACTTGTACCTCCGTTTTGTCATCTCTGCAAGACGTCAGGACATCCGCGCACACACTGCCCGACTCGACAACAGTCAACACCGCCACAGCGACAGCTTCGACCTTCAAGCAGCCAAGTCGCCTCAACACAGGCGAACCCCACCGCTCAAGTTCAAACGACATCAACAGGACAACCTGCACAAGGAGCAAGAAACATCATCAGCTGCATGGCGAGACTCTCCGACTCTTGCATCACCGGATCACCACCAACATACTCACCCGAAGGACTTCTTGACGAAAGGACGCCGCGCCGCGAGACACTGGAGCCGAATCCAGCGTACGCAGCTATCGCCCAAAGTGAGCCATCCGGGAAGGACACCTGGTTCTTGGACAGCTGCTGCGGACAACATATGTGCTCCTCGGGTCGCTTCGTTCAACGCGAACACCGTCTCCAGCGAGACGTCGTCATCACCGTTGCCAACAACCAGAACCTGCGCACACGACGACAAGGCGTAGTGCAACTTCAGTCACGAGAAACAAACGTCATACTACAGATGTCCAAGGTTTTAATAGCAGAGGGGCTCGGATACAACTTACTGAGCGTCAGTCAATTGATGGCGAAAGGAATCCACCTCGAAGCAGACAGCACAACACAGGAGTTCAAGCTGTACCACGGGAAGGGTGGCCTCTACATCGGCAAGGCAGTACTGAAGAACAACGTGTTCGTCCTCGACTTCGTTCCAGACCTCGGCACCGCTGACAGCGACGGAATCGTCACCTTCACCTCCTGGACGCACCCACCAGATCTTGATCCAGACTTCAGCCCCGGAGGTTTCTGGTATTCGCACACCATTCCTGAGGCAGAACGAAGAAGAGCGTTAGCGACGATTCAACATTCGGCAGCAGCAGAGACAACAACGGCAGCAGCAGAGACAACACCAGCAGCAGCAGAGACAACATCGGCAGCAGCAGAGACAACAACAGCAGCAGCAGAGACAACATCGGCACCAATCGCGGGTTCTTCAACTGCACCAGCTCCGATCGACGACAACACTCCACCGACCCCTGCGCAGCAACTGAATCCAACACCTCGAGAAGTACACCGAAGCGCAAACTTCACCGCCAGCTTCTACTCCAACTCCGACGAATACCGACGCTCACCCGGACATCGCGCTGACAAAGATCTCTGGCACAAGCGACTGGGACATCCAAGCAACACGACGATAAACAACACGATACGAGCAGGCGTTCTTGACAAAGATTCACTACTCTTACCCGACGGCAGAGAACTTCGACGAATGAGAGGAACTTGCTTCACCTGTCCAGAAGCTGACTTACCGCATCAGCCCTTCGTCTCTCACCACAACCCGAGCGCACCCGCTTACGCACCACTCGAGAAAGTATACAGCGACATCCTGTATAATCGCGAACCTGGACAAGAAGCATACAACTACACCATCACGTTCATCGACGCCGCCACGCGCTATGTCTGGCATCTCAACCTCATAAGCTGCGACATGGCCTTCCAAGCTTTCGTCGCATGGCTTCCAGTAGCTGAACGAGAATCAGGCGTAAAACTAAAGAGCTTCCAGTCAGATGGAGCAGGAGAATACACGTCCCAGCAGTTCAAAGACTACCTGGCGGAACGAGGAATCAAGCGGCTCATATCTCTACCCTACGCCCATCAACAGCAGGGTGTAGCAGAAAGAATGAACATGACCCTTCAAAACACCATGCGCAAACTGCTACGTGGCATGCGGCTACCCAACCACCAGTGGCCCGAAGCAATGGACCACGCCGTCATGCTGCACAACTTGCTCTCGTCATCATCGCTCCCGAACAACGCATCACCGCATCTGCTGTGGACAGGAAAACAGGGCAGCACCAAAATGTTACGAAATTTCGGCTGCATGGTACATTACTGACCTCCATCTGCACGCGCTGGCCGTTTCTCACAACGGGCACAGTGGGGACTACACCTGGGCATCGAAAAGCACTACAACGCGTGGAAGATTTTTGACGTCCACTCAAAGGAAACAGTGGCAGCACGTGACGTCATTTTCTACGAACGACTCACTCTTTCGTCGTACCTGTACAACTTGGAGACCTCACGAGATGTCACAGGTGGATTTCGTGGGGACCGAGCCTTCGCTTCGGCAGAAGATGAAGCTGACCTGGACGAGCAAAACGTGGAAGGAGCCTCGGAGGAAGCCGGACCTCTCCCCTACTGCTCCGTTGACGTGCCAATGGACGACGAAAACCCACGCGAAAGCATCAACGCCGACGCCTACTACCATTTCGCTGACAACGGTTACGTTACACCTACACAAGTCAACACCGAC